GCTTTCTGTGTATACCGGTTTTCTGCCAAAATTTTCAGATCAATCCCTGTATGGCAGGGATGTCTAGCTCAGTCGGCAGAGGGCAAAGCTTTTAACCTGAAGGTCGAAGTTTCGACCCCACCCTGCACCTGCAACCAGTGGAAGGGTTGGGTCAGTTTTGAACGCTGCTGAGCGGCCAAAACGGACAAGCAAGGAGCACAGTCAACCTGACCAAGCTGGCGAAGTCCGTTTTGGAGGAATTGGCCTGCTGAGCGGCCAAAACGGACCACCAGAGGGAGAGCAAGGAGCCAAGCAGACCAAGCTGGCGAAGTCTGTTTTGAAGGATTAGGGCTGCTTAGAGGCCAAAATGGTGCAGTAGAGGGAGAGCAAGGAGCACAGCCAAGCAGACCAAGCTGGCGAGGTCCGTTTTGGAGGACTCGGGCTGCTGAGCGGCCAAAACGGACCACCAGAGCGAGAGCAAGGAGCACAGCCAAGCAGACCAAGCTGGTCAGGCCCGTTTTGGAGGATTTGGGCTGCTGAGCGGCTCAAACGGACCACCAGAGGGAGAGGAAGGAGCACAGAGGTCCGTGTTGGAGGATTTGGGCTGCTGAGCGGCCAAAACGGACCACCAGAGGGAGAGCAAGGAGCACAGCCAAGCTGACCAAGCTGGCGAGGTCCGTTTTGAAGGATTTGCGCTGCTGAGCGTCCAAAACGGACACCAGAGGGAAAGCAAGGAGTCCGTTTTGGAGGATTTGGGCTGCTGAGCGGCCAAAACGGACACCAGAGGGAGAGCAAGGAGCACAGCTAAGCTGACCAAGCTGGCGAGGTCCGTTTTGGAGGATTTGGGCTTCTGAGCGGCCAAAACGAACCACCAGGGAGAGCAAGGAGCACAGCCAAGGAGACCAAGCTGGCGAGGTCCGTTTTGGAGGATTTGGGCCAAAACGGACACCAGAGGGAGAGCAAGGAGCACAGCCAACCTGACCAAGCTGGCGAGGTCCGTGTTGGAGCATTTAGGCTTCTGAGCGGCCAAAACGGACCACCAGAGGGAGAGCAAGGAGCACAGGCAACCTGACCAAGCTGGCGCGGTCCGTTTTGGAAGATTTGGGCTGCTGAGCGGCCAAAACGGACCACCAGAGGGAGAGCAAGGAGCACAGCCCGGCAGACGAAGCTGGCGAGGTCCGTTTTGAAGGATTTGGGCTGCTGAGAGGTCAAAACGGAACAGCAGCGGGAGAGCGAAGTCCGTTTTGAAGGATTTGGGCTGCTGAGCGGCCAAAACGGACCACTAGAGGGAGAGCGAGTTCCGTTTTGGAGGATTTGGGCCGCTCAGCGGACAAAACGGAGCACCAGGGAGAGATAGGGACAGAGACCTTCGACTTTTTCACCGATCTCTCTGGACACAGAGGTTGTACCTGTGTCTGCTCTCTCTTTTCCTGGCTGCCTCTTCTTGTGGCGGTTGCTTTCTGTGAGAGCCTGTCTGTTTATATACCGGTTTTCTGCCAAAATTTTCCGATCAGTTCCTGTATGGCAGGGATGTCTAGCTCAGTCGGCAGAGGGCTAGGCCCTTAACCTGAGGATTGAAGGTTGGACCCTGCCCTGCACCCACAGCTAGTGGAAGAGTTGGGCAGGTTCGTTTCGAATGATTTGGGCTGCTGAGCGGCTCAAACGGACCACCAGAGGGAGAGCAAGGAGCACAGCCCGGCAGACGAAGCTGGCGAGGTCCGTTTTGAAGGATTTGGGCTGCTGAGAGGTCAAAACGGACCAGCAGAGGGAGAGCAAGGAGCACAGCCAAGCAGACCAAGCTGGCAAGGTCCGTTTTGGAGGATTTGGGCTGCTGAGCGGCCAAAACGGACCACCAGAGGGAGAGCAAGGAGCACAGCCAAGTACACAAAGCTGGCCAGGCCAAAACGCACCACCAGAGGGAGAGCGAGGTCCGTTTTGGAGGATTTGGGCTGTTGAGCGGCCAAAACGGAGCACCAGAGGGAGAGCAAGGAGCACAGCCAAGCAGAGCAAGCTGGCGAGGACTGTTTTGGAGGATTTGGGCCGCTCAGCGGACAAAACGGAGCACCAGGGAGAGACAGGGACAGAGACCTTCGACTTTTTCACCGATCTCGCTGGGCACAGAGGTTGTACCTGTGTCTGCTCTCTCTCTTCCTGGCTGTCTGCTTGTGGCTTTCTGTGAGATCCTGTCTGGATACACCTTTTTTCTGCCAAAATTTGCAGATCATGTCCTATATGGCAGGGATGTCTAGCTCAGTCGGCAGAGGGCAAGGCTCTTAACCTGAAGATTGTAAATTCAACCCTCCCCTGCACCTGCAACCAATGGAAGAGTTGGGGGTCGGTTTTGAAGGATTTAAGCTGCTGAGCGGCCAAAAAGGACCACCAGAGGAAGAGCAAGGAGCACAGCCAAGCGGACCGAGCTGGCGAGGTCCGTTTTGAAGGATTTGGGCTGCTGGGCGGCCAAAACGGACCACCAGAGGGAGAGCAAGGAGCACAGCCAAGCTGACCAAGCTGGCGAGGTCCGTTTTGGAGGATTTGGGCTGCTGAGCGGCCAAAACGGACCACCAGAGGGAGAGCAAGGAGCACAGCCAAGCTGACCAAGCTGGCGAGGTCCGTTTTGGAAGATTTGGGCTTCTGAGCGGCCAAAACCAGGGAGAGAGCAAGGAGCACAGCCAAGGAGACCAAGCTGGCGAGGTCCGTTTTGGGAGATTTGGGCCGCTCAGCGGACAAAACGGACCACCAGCGGGAGAGCAAGGAGCACAGGCAACCTGACCAAGCTGGCGCGGTCCGTTTTGAAGGATTTGGGCTGCTGAGCAGCCAAAACGGACCACCAGAGGGAGAGCAAGGAGCACAGCCAACCTGACCAAGCTGGCGAGGTCCGTTTTGGAGGATTTGGGCTGCTGAGAGGCCAAAACGGACCACCAGAGGGAGAGCAAGGAGCACAGCCAAGCTGGCGAGGTCCGTTTTGGAGGATTTGGGTTGCTGAGCGGCCAAAACGGACCACCAGGGAGAGAAAGGGACAGAGACCCACCGCCAGGCCAGCTCTCGTGTGATGAGGTTGTCGTGCCTGTGTGTGTAGAGGAACATGGACGTTATAATGCGTGGAAGAGCTGGGGAGGTCTGTTTTGAAGGATTTGGGCCGCTAAGAGGCCAAAACGGACCACACGACAGAGCAAGGAGCGCAGGCGAGCAGACGAAGAGTGGAAGCTGGGGCGGTCCGTTTTGGAGGATTTGGGCCGCTCAGCGGACAAAACGGAGTAGCAGAGAGAGAAAGGAGCACAGAAGCACAGCCACAGGAGAAAGGAGGACACAAAACAAAAGAACAGCTGGGCAAGCCCGCTTTGAAGCATTTCGGCGGCTCTCTTACCAAGGCGGGCCACCAGACACAGCAAGGAGCACCGCCAAGCAAACCAGTACTGGGAGAGCTGGGGAAGTCCGTTTTGACGGATTTGGACCGCTGAGCGGCCAAAACGGACAGCCAGAAAGAGCAAGGAGCACAGCTAAGCAGATGAAGAGCAGACGAGCTAGGAAGGTCCGTTTTGATGGACTTGGGCAGCTGAGCGGGCCAAACGGACCACCAGACAGAGAAGGAGCACAGAATCAGAGCCACGGGAAAAAGGAGCAGAACAACTAGGCAAGCCCGCTTTGGGACAACCAAAGAAAGGCAAAGTCGATGTCACCAAGCCCAACACGCGCCACTCAAGGAGACCATCGATGGCACAAAGTGCCACGCCTGCCACGCAACACCCCACCTCGCGTCACAACGGAGGGACCGCGTCTCAGTTGAGGAAACGCGTCCGCGTCACAGATGAGGAAGATTTCCGCGTCACAGACGAGGGGCTTTCCCTCAAAAACACATTTGCAAAACATGTAATGCAGTTATTTAGCGTGTCCATCTACCTATGTCACAATTTGCCCAGCGTGTCAAAAAGCAATCCCAACTGAATTTTCTCAAATTCTTCATCCTGCTTGTTCAAGTTCACAATCAACTGACCCGCGATCGCGGGTTCAACGCGGTGCTCTCTACTTATGTCTAAGTTGATTTATGTTCACCCAACTACATCGTTTACATTATCTGGTTGGTGGTATACCTACCCCTCTGAAAAATATGAAAGTCAATGGGAAGGATTATCCCATATAGTGTGGAAAATAAAAAATGTTCCAAACCACCAACCAGTTATGTTTACATCTACCTTTTCAACCCCAGTTGGCTTACTGAAGTAAGTTTACTGGCAATCTAACACTTTACTTCACTGGAAAGTCACCATATCTTGCTTTTTGGGATGGGATTGATCGACGAATCGACCATGCCTTCCACTTGACCCGTGACCCCAAAAAGGGGCAACCGCAGGAAGGCGATGGAAACCCCTTGGTTTCCCGGCACCTTCCAAGTGTTCTTCTTTCATCTGCTGCAGCAGCAGCAACACCAGGGGCCACTGAGTACCTGAGGTCGCCGAGGTCGTGAAAGGATTGGAATGTGAAGGCGTCCCCGAGGTCGAAACGGATGTGCATGGTGTCAATGTTCACTCCAAATCTGACTGTGGTTGAATTATTGACTATACAGTAAATCGAAGCAAACCATGAAATTCATACCTAACTGTTTCCATCCGGTTGTACCGGTTGATCAATAGGTATAGGCATAGGAATAAAAACTTGGAAAATCATGACCCCCAATAGACAAGTCAGCTATGTCACTCGCTATGTCAACCAATCCAGCGTGAACTCAAAAAAACAAATGAATATCCCCTGTATATATATATAATGGATTTTGATAATCCCCAACGATATATTGAATAGTATAATCCATATATATATATATAATCATCAATCAACATTAATCAACAGGGTTTTGAACACTGCAAGCGACCCTTTTCACAGGCGCTCAGCGCCGATGTGAAGCTAATGACATCGCGCTGCAGGCGGCAGGCCGGAAAGAATGACCTGAGGAACGGGGAGGTGTCTTTCTATCGTGTCTTCCTATCTGAATCTTCATCTCTAAAGTGGATTAGCCAAGCTAAACTTGGTAAAGCAATGTCACAACCCATCCATGTGTTTTTTTGGTTTACATCACCCATTGCTGGGACATTTTTTGGGATTTTTAGGGATGGTTTACAGACCTGGATCAGTTCCCCCTGGTACTCATCTCTCCCGGGCGCTCATGTCAAACATCCCCTGGCTATATGGTCCCAAAGATCTGTGAATCCCCGAAAACATGCTTTCTGGGGTGTGTTTAATATTAGGGGCCAGGGATTTGTATCTTTATTCTGCAAAATATCTGGTGTCAACCTAAACCAAAAAAAAACCTGCCTAGTTCTTGGATTTAGCGTGTGTGTCCATGGTAGTAACGGGGCTAGATTAAGAAATAAAAGTCACATTTGTTTGTTTGCAGGATTTGGGAAGCGTGGTAAAACCATTCAATAGCTGCGATTTATGTATGTTGATCATTCCAATGGAAAAGCATAGGTAGCAAGACCCATCCCAGTCGCTCCCCACTTCCTCGAAACTCGAGCGAGATTTCTATAACCAGCATGACCCTGGAAGTTGTGACGTGAACAAAACACGAATTCGCAAAAATATTAAGGAGTCTAATATTTCTATAGTGAATTGGAACTGATGGTTTTTAATCTGATGATGTATCTAATCTAATCATGGTTTTTAATTATACCCTCTGGTTATGACTAACAGTGCCATGGAAAATTCCATGTTTTTTTTTGGGTATGGCCCATCTATTTCGATAAATGGGCCATCGAAAAACCATGGCGAACTGATCAAAGGTGGTGCCCCCGATAATCAAAGGGTCTGCAGGTCATCGCCGAGTCATCCAGCAATGGATTGGTTGAAGGGAGCATCTACAGGAAACATCGGGAAAGCCCATGAATCAACCCAATGAATCAATGCTGGGATCTCGTTGGAGTCCCCAAATTGTAGAAACAACGCGGCACCACCATTTTTTGCTAAGAAGCAACAAACACAACGAGTGTTCCCACTCAGACGCTGAGGAGCATGCATCAATCCTTGCACGGAGAATGCGGGGTAACTCATGTTCAAGCAAGACCTGGGTTAAGTTGAGAAGTCATGCAATAAGTTCCGAGGGGAACTTCACCGGATACATCATGATACATCATGATATATCGCCAAAAAACAGGGAAATCCACAGGAAAGCCATGGTTTCTATGACCATCAAATATATTATAGGGAGTTTCTGTAACCAATCCAGTGATTTAATGCAAAAAAAAAATGGACCCCAAAAAATCCCTGGCATGACCATCATTTGCCCAATCGATATCGCCATAAACTCGGATGTCAATCATTTTTGGGCAAACCCTAATGTAGCGAGGAAATGTGTTAAACATTTCTAAGCCAACTCCATGGACAACCTCTCTTTTAAGTTAATGGTCATGTGTCTGGGGATGGCATAAGTCAGACTTTTCACCTACCATTGCTATACATCCCCAAATTTTGTCCACGAATTTTGGCCCAATTTTCTGAGCAGCGGATGGTTATCCAAATCGCTAGAAGTTGCAAGTTTTTCAGCACATGTCCCTTGTAGGTTCGGACATTGAACAATCACAGGTCAATATATGGACACGCAATGACACACATGTACTAGTTCATGGGGCCGTGAAGTTCCGATCCGTTAAACACCGTCGCTGGCCGCCGTGACACGCTGCATTGATGCCCACCAGATCTGGATTCCAAAGAGCCATGGCCACGGCCAGTTGCCACTGTGAATTTTTTCCACATGCTGAGACGGCCTGCAGCAGGCTGAAAATCTGAGATCGCCAGGATCGGATGGTGAAAAACATGGTTCCGAATCACGAAGAATCACCAAAAGCTGCAGCTCCCATCATAAAATTTCACCCTGGGCCACATCCCAAAATCATCCCAAAGATGGACATGCCCACGGAATTTGAATGAAAAACAACTGTAATCCGCCGACCCCTGCCTACCACAGGGGAACGCGTCAGAGAAGCAACTGCAATTCCAACGCTTTCGAGGCCCGGCTGCTGCTGCTACGAGCCGGGATTTGGCATTTCGAAGCCTCTGTTTCTCCATCCCCACCGTCCAGAAAGCAACGGTAGGCACTGGCAGCCCCAGCCGGCCGGGCCGCCGCGTCCTTCAGCAGCATAAAATTTGGCGTGTCGAAGCCTGCGTTTCTCCATTCCCACAGTGGTTTTGGCTTTCTTCTTGACATTCCAGAAAGCAACGTTAGGCACTGGCAGCCCCACCCGACCGGGCCACCTCGTCCTTAAGCAGCATCGGGATTTAGCGTTTCGAAGCCTGTTTCTCCATTCCTACCGTAGATTTGGCTTTCTTCTTCACATTCCCGAAAGATCCAGAAAGCAACGTTAGGCACTGGCAGCCCCAGCCGCCCGGGCCGCCTCGTCCTCCAGCTGCATGAGGATTTGGCGTAAGCCTGTGTTCTCCATCCCCACTGCAGTCTTGGGCTTTCTTCTTGATGGTCCAGAAAGCAACGTTAGGCACTGGCAGCCTTCAGCAGCTTGGGGGTTTGGTGTTTTGAAGCTGTGTTTCCTCATCCCCACTGTAGTTTTGGCTTTCTTCTTGACATTCCAGAAAGCACCGTTAAGCACTGGGAACCTGAGCCGGCCGGGCCGCCTTGTCCTTCAGCAGCATGGGATTTGCCAGTCCATTTTGGAATTTTTTGGAACTCATTTTGCCGGTGGGAGCTGCCTTCTGGAGAGGAATTTCTTGTCAGTTCAAAAAGGGCCGTTAGGCAGTGGAAGCCGCTTGCTCGGTACTGCCTCCGTTCCTCACAACATGGTCCTTTGCTGTTTCGCAAGCGCCCGCTAGGGCGGCATTGTGGCGGCTTCTGAATGTCTTTGTTGGGGACTCAGAGAGCAACCTTGTTGAGGTTCCCTACTGAGGCTCAGCAAAAAGTTCTGGAAAGGTTAAATGAGAAAGCCTGCCAAAAGCAACCAGTGCTATTTCTATGTCAAACTTGACTGCGACCGTCAAGCGTTTTGGCCTCGACCGTGGTGTTGCATGTGGGGCATACACGTAGGACCGGCTAAAAATCATCCAATTTCACCTCCCCCAACCGGGCCCAACCAGCTGCAGTCCAGACTGGCCCAGCTACGGTGTTGCAACTGATGATGTCCGTCTTGATGTCGTGGAGACGCATCTGATGCAATAAATCCAGGGATTGAAGCCACGCACTCGCCTGGTGCCAGGGGGACTCCGTGGCACCCATCGCGTTTAGCGAAAAAAAATGCCAGGATTAGTTAATGTGGGATAAACCATGATAAACCTACCGTTTGCCAATGGTTGATACTGGTTGATACTGGTTGATACTGTTTGATACTGGTTGATATAGCCCATAAATTGGTGTCGTTTTGGGGGATCCTTCTCTCCACAAAGAACGCCGCCTTCTCGAAAGCTTTCATGGCGATGTTGTAGGAAATCACCGTGCGTTCACTCTCCTGCTGTTCAAACCCATCCAACAAATCAATGGATTGCTTTAAGGGAAAAATTACAGGAAAACCCCATATTGAATGGGAAAATCTCTGGTTTCCTGTTTTCCCTTAAACCAATCCATCCAACAAAATATTACAGTGAATTTGGAGCGTAATCCTAGCTTAGGAATGCTTGGGAGAGCAATTGTCGAACGTAAAGCCGCCAAGTGATAAAATTGAAACGTTAAAAAATGTGCTCTTTGCCAGTCGGACTCGGCATCCCGTATGTTTTCTCCCATAGAAAAGGTTGAATGCATCTCACTCAATGTATTGGTTTCAAGAAAAATCTATGGGAAACCGTGGAATTTATTTTACTCCCAAATATGATGATGTCCTGCCGATTTTCCCTTACACCAAGTCTGCTAATCCAAAAAAAGCATAGCTTAAAAGTCATATATATATATATATGCACGGATTGTGTTTTTTGTGTTGCATACTTTCTGTAAAAAAATATCTGAAGATCTGCGCATATATCGTGTATGGCCGTGTCTGGGGGGACTACCCCATTTTCAGAGGGCCCTAAATATCATATTATTGTTGCTTCTATATGTGCATATGCAATCATGCCTATACATAGACATAGACATATACATATATCATTATATCTATATAGATATAGATACAGATATAGATATCAGATACAGATATAGATATAGATATACATATCAGATATCAGATACAGATATAGATATGTATGAATACCCCCAAAAAAAACTGGTTATCCGGCCATTAATTCCAAAAAGATCCCCCAAAATTTGATGCGCAAAAAGCTTCGCTCCGGCAGTTCTCCAAAGAGAAGCAACGCCAGCTGCCACTGCTCTCCTGGCCCCAATCTTCGGGTCAAGGTGGTTTTTTTTTGGTTAGAAAAAAGAGGGGTTCCATAATGGAAAATCCGATTCCATGATAAACAATGATGGTAAATGATGGTTAATAATGATCAATATTCTATGTATAGGTATAATTATGATTAATTATGGGGGGTTCCATAGTCATGGACGATCCCAATAGCTGGTTGGATTATTTCATGGAAAATCCGAAATCGCATGGATGTTGATTTAGGGCTACCCCCAATTTGGGAAAGCCCAAAATCTCTGCATTCGGTGAGGCCCCTGTTTCCGATAGCCTAATTATTGACTCGGAACACTTGGTTAACCTTTGGGTTTATGGGGAGGTGCATAGACTCATTTGTAACTGCAGGCGCTCACCTTGCAGCAATATAATGAGGATATTATATATATATATAGGGGATATATATATATATAGGGGATATATATATTTATATATATAGGGGATATATATATATATATATATATTTATATATATAGGGGATATATATTTATATATATATATACATATGGGGATATATATATATATGATATGTATGATAAATGGTGATATGCCCTTTGGTTATTTGACATAGTTATGTAATTTATGGAAAATGGTTTTGAAAATGGCCCATTTACTTCGATGATTTTTGTTGACGACCAATGATTTTTCTTCGCCACGTTGAATTACCAGAGGGTAATGGGGATAGAATGGAATTTACCCTCTGGTAAATTAACATAGACCCTGGCAAATAGGACTTGGAAGATTAGTTTCCATTAAAAATTGGTTATTTTCAGGGTCGAACTGTGAACAATTGCCAGGTCAATCCCATTGATCATCCCATTTATCAGTGTGTTAATTTACCAGAGGGCAATAGGTGTATGAAATGGGGCTGGGTCTATGAGACCAATGGGCTGAAATGATGGGGAAATGATGATCAAATCCTTGGGGAATGACCAACCAATGACCAACCAATGACCAACTAGTCAGTGCCGAGGAACATGATTCTTGTGACAGAACGAGGTTCGAGGTTTTGACGGTGGATAATGGGTGGGGATAGAATTGGATAGGTAACGACCTATGTATGTATTCCAACGGGTGTGCATCTAAGAATGGGTATACCCCAAGATTGCCAGTTGAATAGGAAAAAAGATGATCAACTATGAATTTTGGTGGTACCCCTACTACCCACCACTGTACTTTCCGACAAACTCAAACTGGGGTAGCCAGTAAACATGAGGGATCTAACCAGTTAAAACAGTGAATAGACCCAGTAAAATGGATTGAAACAAAGAATCTTGAGGATTCTTTAAGGATTCATATAGGATACGAACCAACAATGAGATCATTGTTGGGGTATCAACTAATATGGTGATAAAAAATGGTTAATAATATGTTTCGATGGATTGATATAGTGGAAATGTGATTGCAAACCATAGTTATTCCAACCCCAAAAGATGGGTCATTTCGGCAAATGTGAAAAGGGAATCTAGATGGAAAAAATGGTTGTATTCAATGCCACATTTCTGTCACCTCCTGGCATATTCTGTCCAACTTACAAGGTCACCATCAGGTACCCCGCCCTGTCGTCCTTTCACACATGCATTGGCTGTGGAATTGTAGCCTAAAGGGCGACTTTGGGAAACCCGAGCCAGTGGACCCGGGCCAGTGGTGAGTTTATGGAGGTGCAGCTTTTTATGAATCTTGACCCGGAGTATCAACTACCATTATATAGTTTGGTATATATTCAATTAAAAAAACGGACCCAGAGTATCAAATTAGTTCAAATTATACAAAATAAGTTGGGATATGAGTTTGTCTGAAAATGATGGGGAACTCCCCCAATTTTGATGCTGACTCATCATCGTCACTATGAAGATGTCCATCAAGTGTTGGTATACCACATTTTTTTGGCACACCCATATCACACAAAATAACATGATAAGAAACCAGCAATGGTCGAATGTCCTGTGATGTCCTGGTCGAAACTCGAGTGCTTTCACGGCTGCCTAATTCACTCACGGCTTGGTGGTTTCACCCCCCTAAAAAAATGGGAGATGCTCGTCATTGGTGATCAATGGTGATCATATCCCAAATACGCTTGAAAACAAAAATTGATTTAAGGTGATCTTTAAGGTGATCAATGGTGATCAATGGTGATCAATGGTGATCATATACCAACCACTTCACATTTGGGTGGAAAACCCCCTCCCTTTTTTGTCAGAGACGCCGAAAAAGTTCGGTCCGACCGTTGTTCAACCAAATGGATTCATCGCTGGAATCGAGATGGGCTTAACTGTAAAATGGGATACACCTGCCATTTCGATACAGTAAAATTGTGCTGAACCAGTGGATGAAGAAAAACGCGCAAGTTGGCGCACCTTACATACCTAGCTAAGCTACTATTGCCACTATCAGAATTTTTTTTTGGTTAACATCTCAACCTTCACCCATTGTTGAAGGCTCTATCCCTCTGTTTCTTAAGGGTGCCGCTTGGTCCCCCAAGACTAAAAATGGTGTACCAGAAAAATCATCAAATTGGCCTTTTTTTCGTTGGCCCATTCCCATGTTGCAAGCCGCCACCTTGTGAGCAGTTTCTAAATACAAGTTAGAACAAAATGCTTCTTGAAGTATTCTCAACTGGCAGAAAAGTTATAGAAGAATAGTTTGCAACATAGACAGGATTCACCTGGAGATACCAATGACCATCCCCAATGACCCACCACTGGCCTGGCTTCGAAAAATATCATCTCTTTCAATGGCCCACATTAATTAATCCATTTCTGAATGGTCAGTTATATCCCATGAAATATCCCCATCTGGTTGGTTTTTTTTGCCGGCTGCCACCCCTCTGAAAAAAAAGTTCGTCAGTTGGGATGATTATTCCATTCCCAATATGATGGGAAAGTCATATAAATTTCCATGGTTCCAGTCACCACCACTTTATCCCAGCCATTTCGATATTCCCATGTCCCAATAAAAACATTTCCAATGGTTGAATCCCATGGAAAAAACCCATGAAATCGTCATGGCGAAATCCAAGGTGCTAATGGCATCGCGGCGATGCTTACACCATGTGCCGCGGAAGAGCTGCAGAGCTTCCACCCAGCGTTCGCCTGGTATTTGATACATGATATGATATGATTATACATATGATACGATATATATATATATATGTATATATATATATATATATCATATAACAATGTATGTGTATATTCGATATATATATATACATATATATATAACATATATAACATATGTGTATATTTCTATATGTAGATATCTTTTTGGGGACCCACTGATGTTGTTTTTTTCCCCAGCATGATCATCCCAGAATAGGAATCCAATGGATGCATCAAATCCCATGGATTGACGGCCATGGAATGGAGATGGGGTTTAATCATTAAACGTTTGACCATCACACATATGGAAAACCCAATAAGAATATTCATTGAGTAACATGTGAATGAAGCCACTTACCATAGTGCCAGTATAACCCCATACCATAGTATATCCCCCATATTCTTCCATACTACCATACTAAGTTTAAATTTGTCTCATTGAAATACGTTCTCCGGATACAGTTGGTTAATGTTGGTCATCATATAGCCAGATCATTCCATATCATTCCATATCTATGTCCATAATTATACCCCAGTTGTATCCCCAGCATATAGTATATTTATACACCAAACAAAATGTATATCTTGTATAATCAGATTGTATATCATATTTCCATATAAGATTGTATATAAGTTATAAGAGTAAGTTGATTTATAAACCCCATTAACATCCATTAACTATAGCTACATCTACCATAAACCATAGAATTCAGCCACTTATATACACCAAGAAAAATGTATATCTCGGATAATACGATTGTATATCAGTAATAAGAATAAGTTGGTGTTTAAACCCCATTAACATCCATTAACTATAGCTATATCTACCACAAACCATCAAGACATCTTGGGATATGGTCTCGGCGCCTCTGGCGCAGGCATTGATGGCTTTGTTGAGCTGCAGCGTGGTGCTGCAGTCCATTGGTGCCTGTGGATCCATGGAATGTGTGGAGACATGTTAACACAGGAACCTGGACATACGATATATTATAATATACATATG